AAATTTAAGATTCTGTGTGTACTATTTTTGTTGCATCCTTTATCTATCATAGCAAACATGCACAGACCTTTATCTTTTGCTTAGTCTTTCTCATTTTTTTCTATTTTGGAAAATGTCTCCATTCCCATATTCTTTTAACATCTTTTACATTCTCTCTTTTTTTAATTTTAAAAAATTGTGAGACATAATATCATTAACAAATTTTCCATCTGTTGTGAGACTTTTCCTGGGGATACTAAGCAGTGCTTATTCCCTTTTAAGGTTCTAGTCTCAAGCCAGTGTTTGATTGAAGTTTTACTGGGGAACAGAAAAACTGTGTTAATTGAGTTGTTAGTTCAACAACTGCGTTGTTGAGTGTTAATTCTTTTAATTCTATAAGTGAAACTGTATGCCTCATTAGGTTGTTGTAATCTTTTGATACAGAAAATACTGCCATTCTGCACAAAGCTAAATTCTTGTTATGCAATAGTATCATATGGTACATTGGGCTAAGACCACATTTAGAGGTTAGAAGGAATACCTCTAATTTGATTTGGGCCAAGCAACAAAGCTTCACAAGGAAGGTGGTACTTAAATGGATTTTTTTTTCCTTTTTGAGGCAAGGTCTTACTATGTAGCACTAGGTAGCCTGGAACTCACTATGTAGACCAGGCCAGTCACAAACTTACCTGCTTGCCTGTAAATGGATCTTGATATAATTTATTGTATATCAGGGATGGGACAAAGTTTCCTAAGGAAAACTGAAATATAAAGAAAGCAATGAAATTGGGAGAGTGTAGGATATGTTCTGAAAGTAGAAATGCTTCTCAGTAAACTCCCCTCCCCGCATCTCCTTCTCTTGGTTGTCATCTCTTGTTAGTCAGTCCTTGTAGGTCCTTGTTCCCCAGTCCCAAGAAAACAGCTGTCTTTCAAATTTTGACTTTCTAGGTAAAACATTTCATGAATCTTAACTGCTCTTGTGTTTAGAATATCTATGCCTCCCTCCCCGTGTCCTATACTGCATGCTTCTTGAGAGTTGGGGAAGTATATTTTATTTTAGTTAGGCTTGCTCAGCCTCTTCAGTGTTTGGTCTGGCACATAATAAGTGCTCAGTTTTTTTTAGTGGATAGAATAGGAAATGATTGATTTTGGTTAGAAATAGCTCTAACTAAATTAAATTAAATATGAATTTTTGAAATTGATGTTGTGATATTCTTGATTCCCCAAATTCGTGAATACCTTAGTCACATACAGTGTTCTTATTTAGAAAATTGGGGGCAATGAGGATGTAGTGAAATTAAACTACTGTAGTATTAGATTTTACAACGTACTTAAATTGTTTTTTGGTTTTTTTTTTTTAGAGGGCACATAGAATTAAAAGGAAATGTATAATATAATCCTAACAAATTTTTATTAAAAATTCATATACAAAAAAAATTCTGCTTATTTACATTTGGGGCTTTAAATAACACCCATTCTTTTTCTCCAATCAGTGGCTGATAGCAGTTGTGGCTTACCTGCCCTGCTTCACTTACATGTAGGGCAAGATGAGTCTGAGGAATGTTCCATACTCTTTGCCAGAGATTCCCAGCAGGATTAAATCCCAGTTGTCAACAGCTATAGTCAGCTTCATAATGAATTCTTTATTGGCTTCCTTTCCTTCCTGTCTGACTTCTCTACTTCCCTACAGGTGTTTACTTAAGTGAACTTCCCAAATAAACTACCAGTACCGAAATCTTTGACTCAGGGTATACTTAGGAAATACAACCCAAGACAGGATGGCACTAAGCAGTTTCATAGTAACTTAAAAATGTTAATGCCTCAGAAAGCGGAGAAATTTGTAACATAAAATTTGAGAGAAATTTTTAAAAGGCAGCTTGAAAGCTTTACTTGTAGAGAAATTTTAACTAAAACAGATTTACTGTATACCTGGAATCCCAGGACACAGGAGGCTGAGGCAGGAAACTTCTCTATAATTCAAGACCAGCATGGGCTATATAGTAAGTACCAAGCCACCCATGCTCATAGGAAGTCCCTATCTCCAGAAAACCAAAATGAACTAAAGAAACCAAAATCTGAGGTTAAGTAGCTAGTTCCTATTTGGAGGTGGGAGATAAAATGACTCAGAATAAGTGTTGTCACCTGCTCCTACCCCATAATGATTAAAGCCCCAAATGTAATTCACAGGGTAATGCTTCGGTGTGTACTTCTTTCTTAATTCTTTTTTCACCCCAATGGTAAAATTTGTTGTAAGTTTGTATTGCACATTTCAGTTGAATTCTAACTTTCTTCCTGACAGTACTGAACATAGAGTTCATTATGCAGGGTGGTGGTGGTAGTGGGGGACCCCAACAAAAAGCATGCACATACAAATAGAGCACAGGGTAGCATAGTTCAAGCATTTTCTTATTTTTGAAGAATAGGTGCTTATTTTAAATTTGCTGATTGAATTCTTGTGTTTTTTTGTATTTTTAATTTCAGAACAAGTTTTATTAAGTAGAAACCAGAATATCACATCAAGTTGATTGGATTCTGTGTCACTGGCTTACTAAAAAGTGCTATTTTGTTGTTTAAAAATATATTGTAAATATATTGCAACATATGATAAATGTTTTAAGAACTTAAAATGTTGTGGACACCATATTTTACATTAATAGCATAATACCTATTAGATATAAATGTTTTTCCTAAAAGTCTCTTTTTTTTTCTTCCTTTATAGAATGCTGCCTTTTTATATGGTCTTGGTTTGGTCTACTTCCATTACAATGCATTTCAGTGGTAAGTTAACAAAGCTAATTAATTCCAATTGTTTCTAGTAAATAGCTTGTTTTAGTTTCTTTGGCTTGTTTTTGCTTGATTATAAAATATTTTACTGCCATTAAAGCTTCAGTTTTCAATATCTTTTGAAATGATTAGATTGTTTCTTCCCAAATATTGTCCTACTTTAGATTATTTAGCACTGTGTTTAATAAAGACTATATGTGGTATAAAATCCTTGCCAATGAAAGTGGGCTTAGTTAGATAAAGGATACTTGGAATGTTCTCTGTTGCTCTTTAGAGACTGGTGGGCCCTAGGTTATTTGAACTGAAGAATGAGTATGATTGATCTCAGACCTCAAGATCTGTGGAGGAAAGGATCCACAGTGAATAGTTTTTGTTTTGTTTTTACATTTTCTGACTTCTAGGCAAAGGACCACACTTTCCTACACCACACTGATTAGTAATCTCTTTTAGTAATAAATAATCAGATTGCAAACTCTGCTCTCTCTCATAAAATAAGAATAATAACACCTAACTTTAGAGTTGGAGATTAATTATAACTGTATATAAATTTCAACAGATTATAAAATGTCAGGCCCTACTATTAACAACCTTCATTCCATCACTGTGTTTCTCTTTGCCAGAGAACATAGTAGTGTGGCCTAATGGAATGAGCATAGAATTTGAGTAGAAAGAGTCATATTCTGGTATAAGAATTTTTGAAAGTCACATGAGAAATGTCTATTTTCTAAACTAGAAAGCCCTGTGTGGACATTTTTTTCTTTGAAGTATATCTTAATTTTGTCTTAGTCTCTTCTATGTGCCAAAATTTTATAAGCTAAGTGGGTGCAATGAAAGTGCATAGAAAGGTTTGTGTTTGGCCAAAGGTTATGACTCTTATCATATACCTCATGTGCATCCTTAATATTATGGAACTTTTACATGAATTGACACGGATTTGATCCATTTTTCCTAAAGCTGAAACCTTAGATGTGGTTGGCTTATCCTAGTGCCGCCCCCCCCCCCCCCCCCAGCTTCTGGTCTTATTGACAGGCTTTTGATCATACAAGGTAACATCACATTGTTAGAGCATACTTGTGTGTATGTGTGTATGTAGAATATTTTAGTCATCCAGAACATAGTTTTTCTTTGTCAACTTTACAGAGTTATAGTTATCTTGATAAAGTTTTGTATCTTTTTTTTTCTTGTAATGCCAGGGCCTTCACTAGGTGGCCTAGAATAAGTAGACCATGCCAGCCTGAAACTTGTGGTGATTCTCTTGCCTCTGCCTCTTAAATGCTAGGATTACAAGCACGCAGCACCACGCCTAGCTTATAATTTTTTTCTTGAGGTAACCCTTATTTTCCAGCAGTTTTAAGCTTCCTAACTTTAATGTTCATTATATCATTTAAAACCAAGGATTATTTTTAATTCTTGTAGTTTCTTGAAGATCTACTCATGGAACCAAAGGAGTGGTCTTAAGAGATGATTTAGGTTGTTCCCTTTAATTTTGTAAATGTGGAAAAGAGGATGTGTGTCTTTAACTCAGTATTACATAAATTGTTTAGTTGGGAGGAAGGTTATGCTCAGATTCTCCAAGCATAAATTATTTTTATTGTACTATGTTTCCAAGTTTCAGTAGTAACAGGATTTTTTGTTTGTTTGTTTTGTGTTTTTGCTTCTGTTTTAAAGACAAAGTCTCAAAATGTAGTGTAGGCTACTTTCAAACTTGAAGTGATCCTCCTGCTTCAGCCTCCCAAGTGCTGAGATTATAGATGCTGACCATCACGCTCAGCATAGGCAGTTACCTTTTAATCAATATTTACAATGGTTCTTTTCAGCATGTTGATGAAATCTTCATGGTCCACCAACCAGAAATAATTTAGGGAAAATCAAAAGCAAGGAATTCTACACTTGAGGAATGAGTATTTGTATCTGGTTCCAGCCAGTTTTCATGTACTTGTGGTAATTTGTGAACTTGTAAGAACATAAAACTAGGAATAAAGCTCAAAACCTAGTTAAGTTGTGACCATGCTATATCTTTTGATTCCTTGTCCTTATGTGATTTCTACATCCTTCAGTTGACCTCAGAACCGAATGATAAAAGGACAGTGCAATGTCCGAATTAACTAAGTGACGGTCTCTGTTGTTCCTTATCCACTATTTTCTTACATCTTGAATTTCAGTTCTGTAGCTGCTTCCTGAAATAATACAGCTGCGCCCCTTGTCTATGAAGTTACCCGGGCTATGTGTTTTCTGTCTTGCTGATCAAGTGTTTTCTCAGAATCTACACCTCACACTTCTGCTTTAACTTGTCTTGATATTGCTTGGACAGTTACCAAATTAGGAAGCACGGGGTAGTGCTTGATGAGTTTCAGAGTATAGTCTGAGTTGATAGTAACTTATATAGGATGAAATTACTTTTGTTTTATTTGGAGATTTTCTGTGGATTGCTGGGATTAGGAGCTTTTTATTGCATACCAAATGCCTTGAAATTTGTTGGGAAGTGTTAAAGGAGAGTTTTTTTGTTTTTTAGTTAGGTTGAGATGATTCAATTATGTATAGTTTTTTCAGTTTTAGTTATATCCTCATCTTAGAGGAACCTATGGCAGAAACTAATGCGTTGGAGCCAACTCTTAGACCCTCACTGGATTTCTGTTTACTCAACTCTCTTATTACTATACTCAATCTAGGACCAAGCTTAAGGAAAGAAGTCCAGAAGGAAAAATAAAAGACGTGGAAACCCATGATAAGATATATGCAATAGAGTGTTGCCTTTGCAGGAAACCTGTATCCTAGACTGGAGTACACATAAAGAAAGGAAATTTAGACTGACAGAAAAAGATAGTTGAAGAAAAATAAGGTCATTTGCTAATTTAATAGAAGTAAATAGAAACGATTCCTCTCAGTATCAGTTAATAGCCATATCCTTAAATACATTGCCCTAAAACCCCTTATCTAAGCTATCTTTGGCTTGTTTCCTTTCATAACCTTTCCATTGATCATTATCAGCATGGTCTTACTGTGAAAAATGTAAGAGATACATAATTCTGTGCTACAGGTGCAGGATTTTGGAGTTTAGGCACCCAAATCTAATTGACCCTTCTGATACGATATCAGAAGGGATTAGGGGGATAAAGTGGAGGTGAGTTTAAAAAGACAGATTTTAACATACTATTAGTAAAGTTTTTTTTCAGGATTCATTTCTTTGTAGCCCAGTTTTCTCCTAAACTTTACTCTTCATGCTAGTCACACTGCAGTAACATTTCCTTAAAAGCATTATAAGCATTTTTTACCTCTGTGACTTTGTTCATGCTATTTTCTGTTCAATCTGCCTTCTCTTTTCATTTCTATTCTTTAAAACCTTACCTCTCTGTCTTTTTGGTTATGTCATAAAATCTTTCTGATTGTCTCATTTAAAAAGAGCCTCTAAATTTCTGAATATCTGTGGAAGTATGTATGTATTGGATCTATTTTATTATTGATTTAGACTTACAATATTCTCCTTTTGATTAGTATGAAATATTGTGTAATTTGTTCATATACCTCTTCATCTATTCCTGAAGCAAGTTTCTAAACTCAGCCTTCATTTTTGGCCTCAGAAAATTAAAATCTTATTGTTTGTTATAGATCTTGATAATCTTTTTTTAGTAAGTATTATTTTCTAGAAATCTGATTAAAAATGGCCATACTTTAAAGTATATTTGGCACATGTGTGTTTTTGTGAAAGTAGTGCTTATTGGGGTTTTACCTTTCTATTCTTTTCTGACTGAGTGTAGTGGCACAGACTGTTAATTCCATCGCTTAAGAGTCAGAGGCAGGTGGATCCCTCTGTGAGTTACTGTTCTACATAATTAGTTCCAGGCCAGCCAAAGCTATACAGTGAGACCCTATCTCAAAACAAAACAAAACAAAATTCTTTAGCATGAAAAACCCTAGAAATAATCTTGATGATAAAAGAACTTATTTTTAGATTATAATTTAAAAATACCAGCAATATGTTCCTTTTTTTAAAAAAAAAATGTTGTTTCAATAGTGTGCATATTCTTTGCCTATTTGAGAGCTATGACCCTTTCTAGGCATTATGTTATCAAGGTATTTCATGGAGTTTTTAGTCGTTATTTACCATGCTTTATAATTTTGCCAGAACTCTGTCATCAGCAGAATGGTAATGTAGTTTAATTTGTAGTGCAGAGACCATAATTTGAATATGTGTATCTTGGAGAGATAAGAATATAGTAAGATTATAACTAAAATTTGAATGCAGTCTTTAGTGGTGCCTATTTTTTTCTAGCCCCTTCTCATTCTTTTATTCTGTTTTTCTGGGATGGGAAAAGCTCAGGTGTCAGGCAAGAGAGAAAAGTTGATTAAAGCGTGGACAGAAAATGAACTTGGATATGTGAGTAAATGTATTGTCTGTTAGATGAGGGTACAGACAATGATAGAATTCCTTCTTCCCAAGAGGTAACCATATCAGTTACCTTTTAGCAAATGGTATTAAACATCTGTTAAATTTAAAATTATTTGCTGTTTTAGAGCATTAAAGATAAAAGAATTATGTAGACCCCCAAGGAACAAACTTAGAAAACCTGGAAACAGTACACCATAGGTAGAAAATAAAATGTTTTGAATTTAGAGTGGACCTAACTCCTAGTTTTAACACTAAGCAAAAAATATTTGACACTGAATTTGCACGGTGAGTCTTGAAGGTAACAGCAGGTTTAGAAGGGGGCTGAAGGATAAAAATATTCCAGCTCAGGGGCTGATGAGATGGCTCAGAGGTTAACAGTACTGGCTGCTATTGCAGAAGACCCAGGTTTGAATCCCAGCCACCCACATGGCAGCTAACAACTGTCCATAACTTCAATTCCAGAGGATCTGACGCCCTCTTCTGACCTCCATGGGCATTGTACAACACAGGTGCACTTTACATGCAGGCAATATACTCATACACATATAAAATAATAAATGAAATATTTAATAAAATATTCTAGATCAGAAGAATATAATAAAAGAAAAACAGTGAAGACAAGAGACCAGTATTTGATTAAGGAAATTCTTGAGATAAACCAGTTCACAGCTGAGGAACAATCACAATGGTTAGTTAGCGAAGAATAGATCTGAGTGGGTACTGCCCACAGATCTTAAATGTGGCATGGAGATATGATTATTAAGTTGTGAGTATTGTAGTCACTAGACAGTTAGTAGAATTACATATTTGAGGAAATAAATGCAAGACAGAATAGAGAGGAAAAAACTCTAAGCAATTAATTTCAACACTCTAGTAAACTGAAGATTGGTTCTATAACAAAACAGCATCAAGGAGAACTTGATTATTAGAATACATTTTACCTGTACTTTGTCTTTGATACTTCTAATAGACATTAAAGAGTAAACATAGACCCTGTTTAGTGTATTTGGAATGTTTTTGCATCTAGATTAATTGCCCATTCTTCTGCTAGCTTTCGTAGAGATTATGTTAAAATAAACCCGGGTGTGTAGTTGTGTGTTGTAAAGCAAGAGGAGATGTCTGAACTGAAGGCACATATAGAGTAAGACACCTACAAACACTACATTTAGGGGAAAGAATAGAATTTCAACTGAGACAGAGTAAGAAACCTTTCTGCTGATACGTTACTGATGTTATGTAATCTTCCTTCTTCATATACTCTTTGCTATATATACCTTTTTTCTTTCTTGACTCATCTTTTCTGCCTTTCTACTTTCTACTTCTGTTTCATGTTTATGCCTCAGGTCTGCCTGGGCTTTTTATTGGCACATGTAGACATTGCTTCGTAGTTTTCTGACCCAGATCATAAGAACATTGTGAAGCACTAGTCATGCGTGATTTTTATTTATTCAGTGATTCATTCATTAACGCTTTTAGATTTTGAGACAGGGTCTCATGTATCCCAGGCTGGCCTTGAATTTCTGATTCTCCTGTTTACACCTCCTCAGTGCTGGGATTACAATAATGTGCAGTCTTGTCTGGTTTATTCAGTGCTAGGGATAGAATCTAGGACTTCACCCGTGCTACACAAGTACTCTACCAACTAGCTATATCTCCAGCCCCTAGTTATGATTTCTATTAAATATACCATAAAAAGGGCATAAATTTTAAACATATCTTAACATACTCTTGTAAAAATAAACATGGTCATCATCTGACTGAAGAAATACAACATTACTGCCATCCCTGAGGCTTCTAAATACTTTCTACATACCCTTTCCCAGTCATAGTGTATGTGTTATAATTGACATCATTTATTGCTGGAGTTCAAACCCAGGGCCTCATGCACCCTACCACTGAGTCCCTTTCCTAATATTTTTGATACATACATCCATAGACATATGCTGTCTTCCTCCCATCATGTTTGCATTGACTGACAGGAATAGTGAGCTGCCTTTGAATAGCAATTGTAATTTCCCCCAGTTTTTTCCTGTCAGTTCTCTGACACCTCTCTTACCTTAAGCACTATTTACATCAAATAATAAAGTACACATCCCACACCCATTAATATAAATCATCTAACAGATGAATGAATGTCTATCATTTTTAAAGAAGAAAGCTAAGTACTGTCATAAACAGGTATAAAGGTCTGATGCCAAACTTATTCCCCTGCCAAATAAACACTACCTATTAGAACTCTAAATTTTATAATAAACATGAATATAAACATTCTTTTTAAAATAGTACACAATGAGTCCACCAGAATAAAGTTACTATAAAGACATGAAATATTTTGTTCGATTTTGGGATATAATAATTAAAACTTGGTACAAAGGATTTGTTTTTATTTTGGAAGAATATAAGATTCCTATAATGTCTATAGGAATAGAGCTAGCTGTCATAAAGCTTTGCAAAGAATATATTAGCATGTGCTTAGCAGAAGCTTTTAAACCAGTAGGAGAAATTAAAATGCTACCCAACATGTTTTCAGTAGAATATTTTTTGGTTATTTTATTATGATGATTTTTGGTATGTAAATAGATTAACGTTCTTTTTTTGTTGTTTGTTTTTCTTTTTTGAGACAGGGTCTCATGTAGTGTGGGCTCTCCTCGAACTCACTATCTTCCTGCCTCTACCCTCTGAGTGCTGGATTTTCAAGCATACGTCACCACTCTGGGTTTATGAGGTACTGAGGATTAAACCCAGGACTTCCTGCATGCTAGGCAAGCACCCTGTGAACTGAGCTACATCCGCACCCTGATAGATTTGTAACTTTGAAAATTCAAAGCATTCCGTCATTATTTAATAATCCTTTTGAGCAGGTAACATTCACATGGTCTAATTAAGCAATAGCAGTATAAACATGGACTCAGTGAAAAGGGTTTCTTTCCCCTGAATTTGTTCTACTTGTAATTGAACCCTTTAAAAATGAATGTATGAATGAATGAATGATCTTTCCCCTGAATTTGTTCTACTTGTAATTGAACCCTTTAAAAATGAATGTATGAATGAATGAATGAATGGAATGAATGAATGAATAAATAAATAAATAAATAAATAAAGTAATTGGTGCAATGAGAATTTGAAGCAAAGAGACTGGTAGATTATGGACAGTTAACTAGAGTAACAAGCTCAGAAGCAGATCCATGTTAATGCCGACATTTAATTTGGTACAAAGCAGAACTATAAAGCTTTCGCGTAAAGACGATCTTGTCTATAAATAATGTGGGAATCGTTGGATATTACTATAGAAATATGAAAACATGAAAACCGAAACTTCCCTCATGCAGTATAAAAGATAAAGTACAGATGGATCATGTACCAAAACATGGAAGAAAATGCAAAGTTTTAAAAAGACATTTTTTTTTAGTAGACTAGCAGCAGGGTTAATCCATCACCCATTCCCTATATATTCTTCCCTCTTCTCCTCCAAGAAATGCCAGAAGTACTGAAGTTTGTTATTTACACTGAGAATTTTATTAAACCATGAAATATTGTCTGCTTAAATAACTTGAAGTAAATTTAACCTTCCTGTCTCCCTTTTATATGAAATTAGACCATGTACAGTTAATTGTATAAAAGGCTCGGGTACCCCTTTTCAGCTTCTTAATAACACTTATTTTTATAAATCTGACATTTAAAAATGGCATTGCATAAAACAAGTTTTACTGTACTACCAAGCAGAAATTCTTGCACGTGTTAAAAAGTTAAGATATCTTATGTCTATATTCTTTCAGGGCAATTAAAGCATTTCAGGAGGTGCTTTATGTTGATCCCAGCTTTTGTCGAGCCAAGGAAATTCATTTACGACTTGGGCTTATGTTCAAGGTGAACACAGACTATGAGTCTAGTTTAAAGGTAGGTTATTGGGATTTTTTCAAGATACAATGTTTTATTTCTCTGACTTTTTTTCTTTTAGTTTATTTCTCTTTTTTGTTGTAAAGTATTGGAGGATTGAGAAATGTTGTAAATTACATTGTAATTTTCTTTTTCAAAGAAAAATTGAAAATTTGTTTAGATGATGGAACTATCATCAACTATGAAGTGGAAGATAAATTGGGTTTCAGAATATAAAGTAGTTATGATGCTGAGAGTTGCATGATAGCTGATCACACCGTTAAAGTTTCATTTTGTTTTAAAGTTTTGCTAAGATCTGTCAGGCAAGGATGAAGGTTTCAGTATGTTGGGACATCTAAATTACTCCCCTCTAAGTGACTGGCCATTATAGAGGTCACAAAGAGCTACTTAAATGCTCTTTTGTTTGTTATCTATCCAGCCATTGACCATGTCTTTACATGAGTCTATATAGATTTTTATGTCTTTTACCTAAATAAAAAATGAGTATTTTCAGTGCTCAGCAGTTAAGAGCACTGACTGCTCTTGCAGAGGACCCAGGTTCGATTCCCAGCACCCACATGGCGGCTATGAACTGTCCTTAACTCCAGCTCCAGGGGAATCCGAAGTCCTCTTCTGACCTCCGCGGCACTGCATGACATGGGTGGACTCACATACATGCAGGCAATACACTCATACACATAAAATAAAATAAATAAATAAATAAAATACTGAAAAAAAAGTATTTTCAAGGCATTTGGACTGCTGGTTTGTGTATATAGATATTGTTGGGGTAAGATCATATATTGTTGGTTAACTATCTTCCTACCAGTGGAAATTTCATATTTTTCCAATTCTTCCTTTTACATTGAGCTTCTGTTGCCTTTTGCCCTCATTACTAGACTTTTATTGAAAGCAGTGCTTCCCTGCATGACCCCACCCCACACCCCCAAAATGCAGTTTGAAAAGATAAGTTCTAAGGAAAAGATTAACAATCGTGTGAATTTAATGATTTTATAATGGTTGCTGAGTTCTACATGCTATACATATATATCATAATTCTAAAGGTTGTGGGGAGGGAAAAGAAGGTATAAAGAGTGACTTCACATTTGGACTATAATTTGAATTCACTAATAAAGAACCACCAGCAGGTATTTTTAAAACTATCCCTAAGTGTGCCTAATTGTAAAGTACAATATGCAAATACCGATTTTTAAACCATTCACATGTTTATAAGACACAATATTGATGAGACCAAAACCATTAAGGCAAATTTTGAAAAATTTAGACCATAATAATTGAAGGTAAGTCCAGTAGAAGAATAGGTCCCAGCATCCAATGTACCTTGAAGTACTGTGGAGAGCAATAATACCTGGAATTTACAATTTTCCTCAGGCTTAGTGCTTGCAGCATTTTCTTAAAATATGCTGTTGTATGTCATTGATTTTCAAGTAGAAAAGAATTTTAGATATGCTGCCTTGTATATTTGAACAATTCCTGTTAGACAATCAGTTTTTCTATTAGCTGTCAAAGACTTGCTATATTTTATTATATAAAATAGACTTATTGAGCATTTCACATTATTGTTACAACATGCCTCTTAGGTTGCAAAAGGTTTTTGGCATCAGCTTGGCAAATGTTCAGGAAATATATTTGAGGGGGAAAAGTAATTAGATATATCCCAAATTATGGAATATAACTATGCCTGAATATCAGTACAATGAATGTAACTATGCCTGAATATCAGTACAGTGATAACTTAAATAATTATATGGATACAAATCTCTGCCTTCATGAAGGCAGCTATATTTAAAAATCCTCTTCAGTTAGGAGATACATTTTATTTGATATTTTTCTTGTTCCATAATGTCAAGGTTTTGATTTGATTTTTTTTTCTTACACGTTTATTGATGCTTTTGGGGGCGGGTGTTGGGATTTTTGATGGCTGTTTTGTTCTTTTGGGACAGGGTCTCCCTGTAGTCCCAGCTGGCCTGGAACTCGATATATAGACCAGGCTGGCCTCCATCTCACAGAGATCTGCTTGCCTCTGCCACCTGAGTGCTGGCATTAAAGGCATGCACCACCACACCCAGGTCTTGCATTCCTTTTTTAAGCCTTCCCTCTCATAGTGTCTCTCTCTCTCTCTCTCTCTCTCTCTCTCTCTCTCTCTCTCATATTTTAAGGAGAATTTTAGACATCAACATTTTTAGCTGAAGAGCAGATATTTTAGTTTATTACTATAAGTGCATAGCATTTGGTGAGTGGAGGTAGAAATCAGGACTGATGTGCCCATATTCCCCTTAGATAGCCTGCAGCTTTCTGGCTAGTACTTCACATTCATGTGGATAAATGGAGAACCTCTGATGACTTTTCCATCACATTAAGCATATTACATAACACAGTTATGTTGGAATAGATGCTTTTTAGGTTACAACTTTGGAAACTTAACACATACATAATACATACATAACACATAATTTAACACATAACACAGTTATGCTGGAATAGATGCTTTTTAGGTTACAACTTTGAAAACTTAGAATAGTAGCTCAGGACCAGTGATATGGCTCACTAGGTAAAAGTGCTTGCCAGCAAGCCTGATGACCTGAGTCAGTCAATCCCCAGGACCCACGTGGTGGAATGAGAGAACATGATTCCTGCAAGTTGTCCTCTAATCTACACATATACATCTGTGCACACACACTCACACAAGCACATGTGAAGTCAGGCCTCCAGGGTTAGTTGAATAAAGAATCCAAAACTTCACTGAGTATTACTACTGCTTGTAATGTCAGTGGAGATTACAGAAAGGTGAAGGAGCTTCTGGCATTCTAGAGGACCCCAGATAGAGCTTCTAAAGCGAAACACTGTATTTGAGAGTGGTGCTTCAGCTGGATTTGTTGCACCTCAGCAAAAAATGAGGTTGCCATTTTCCATGTGGACTTCAGCAAGAATACATTTTCAAACTTACTGGCAATTTTGAGCCACTTTGTTGGAGTCATCAATCTGTTTAAATAATTACAGTTGATGACTAGAGAGATCCCATACCATGCACCATTTGCTTGGAATTTATTGATCCTACTTAGCATATTAAAGTCCTTGTCATAAGAATGTTAGCTTTCAGAGGTGGATTATGGAGTCAAGCAATAAATGAAAAAATGTTTTTTCTTAGGTATATATATAAAGAAGAAAATACTATAATAATACTAATAACTTGGCATTACGTGTAAAAGTAAGACAATCTATGGAAGAAAACTTAATGCAAAGAAGCAGAACAAAGGATCTCTGCATACTTATTTATAAAGTCATTACACTTTCTATGCTAGAGTTGGAAGATGTCTGAAAGCACCTGTGTATTCAAGTCAAAGTAAAATTTTTATTTCAGCAATTTAAAAAAAAGAATCCAAAGTTTATCAAAGATAGGTTCCCTTCTCAGTTCTATGTTAACTTCTTTTTGTGGAGAATGGAAAAAAAGAATAGTTTATGGGAATATACTGCAAGAGAGCAGTGGGCTGGTCAGTGACCATAGAGTATTGTCTGCCTTTGTTGACTTATATTTGAAACTGGTTCCTTTATTTGATAATATTAGTAAGCTGACTACCAAGTACTATCAAAGTGAAAGATTTTCCTTTATGTTTCACATAGAAAGACAATGGCAGCATATGTGCTTATTCTTTTATTTGACATAATAATAGCTCAATATATGGTGATGATGATCATCATCTTTTCATCAAGGAATAAGATCCTATCTTTTTGTTAATCTTTCAGAAGTACTTAACCTTGTATCTGGCCAGAAATAGATCACATGACCATTCCTAATTAATTTCTTATCTGTGGAGATGTAGTTACTCTTAGACCAGTTATGCTCAGTCTTTGAGTAAGGTTTGAGTCTCTAAATATACTATTGTTACCTAATGGATGCTTGAAGAGGTGGTTAAAAAGAATATTTTGGTGGTGAGAGTAGTGTGAATATTCCATCCACTACATAAAAAAGTTTATTTATTTATGTATCTGTGTGTTTATGAAGATAAGTGTGTGTGTATGTGTGCATGTGTGCGCACACATGCTTGCGCACATGTAGGCGCACATGCTTGGAGGCCAGAAGAGGGTGCTGGGTGTCCTCTTCTGTCACTCTCCACCTGTTCACTTGAGTCAGTGTCTCTTCTTAAATCTAGGTTGGGGCTCACAGTTTCTCAGCTAGGCTGGGAACCAGCAAACTGCAGCAATCTTCCCTTTCTCTGTCCTCTTAAAAGCTGAACACCCTGCTTGTTACATGGATATTGGAATCCAAATTCTAGTCCCCAGAATTGTGTAGCAAGCATTCTTAACTGCCAAGCTAGCGCTCTAGCTCCAGATCAGATCTTCTCTACCTTATTTATTCCTTTACCTTCTGCCTGAAGAGAGATGTAGCTTGTACAATACTTTTTAGATGGTAAAAATATTTATATAAAATATTTTCACAATAAATTCCTTTTATCTACATATTAAATGCATTTCATGGCCTCCTGGGCTTTATTTTTAAATCAGCGTTTGTTAATATTTTCCACAAAATGTATGTCTTAAACAAATTCTATTTTGTTACTGTGTTACAGCTCTAATAGTAAGCAAATTTGGTTTTGAAATTTAATCCTACCACATACCTTGTAACTAATTGTTCAACCATAAGACTGCTGATTTCTGATTATTTCTGTCTGCTGAACCAGAATAATCATGTTTACTTTACAAATTTGTTATAAAGGTGAATATTTATGTGCCTGTACACATATACATACATAATCTGTATCTTAAAAATAGCTTTATTTTACCTAGCAGGGATTGTCAGATATAGGGGGTCACTATATAGCCTGCACTGGTTCTAGAACTTGATGTTCTCCTGTCTCAGCGTGCCCACTGCTGGGATTTATAGGTGTGTGCTACCATACCAAGTTTCAGCTCTTCTTTAGTTCTTAGTTTAGGATGTAACATTCCTCAATGCTATAGATGATACAGTTTGGTGAGTTAGTTTGTTTTTATAGTTTTTGTTT